ACAGTAAAACATTGTCATAGCTGACCTACTTTTTCAAAGCAATGCTGGGATGATAAACTGCTTGAGTTTGAGGCTATTTAAGATGGAATTTAACTGCTTTCATTAGGAAGTGTCAGCTGCTTTATAATCCATAATATTGAACATAATTTAACATATTACTATATTATTTTTCCTTGAATTACACTGTTCATATGTATGTCATAATACACAAAATATTCATGACTTCCTCAACTCCTGACTAACCAGTCTGCCAAATAAGAATATTCCTGTGAGACAATACATTGATATTCCCAGAAAAATACCAAAAAAGTGGTCCGTTCAGTTTTGAGGTTTTAGTTTTTATGCAGCGTCTATAATAAAACATGCAGCTATTTATTTAACAGCTGCTACATTGCACACACAATTAGACACTTATAGAACAGGCTGCAGAAATATGATTTTTAACTTTAAGAAATGTATTGAAATGCATGTAGTTGCACAACGTTTTCAAGTAAATCATTTATGTAAATATATTCCCCATGTCTGGTTAATGTTGACAAGCGGCCTGACAAGCCAGGTGGAAGGTTGTTCCCTTGTCTCTGATGGCAATTAGTTGATTCCTTACTCGACCATGACATAATAAAGATCATTTGCCAGCACCTACATTTATCAATGTGCACACCATTTAAGGATCTGAAAATCAAAGAAGAAAACAAATGTTATTTACTAAAGAGATTATACAAAACTAGGCAGGAAAATAGGGGAGAGGCGTTTTCTACCTTTTTAACACATTTGTGAAACTGTCAATTTGGAAGTATAACTAACATTCATTTAGACATTTTGAAAGTAAACTCCTAAGAGTTCTCTTTCAAAGGAGATTACCTTCATGAATATACACTTTTCCATGGGGAGGAACCATTTACATTTCATGTGTTTCTTTTAAGATAGTGCTTGTTAAGAGATTAAGTGAAATACCTCTAGGATCAGTTAAACCCCACGGCAAAACGCAACATCTTGCAAGAAACAGCGTCTGAGGGCTTCTTAACATTTAATAAATGATGAATGTGTCATATGCACTTAACGGGAAGAAACTCAGCTATCAGACAATATTAACCATTTTTTGCAAAACGAAACATAAGGGTAATAACAAAGACTCTGAATTACCCCTGAGCGAAAAAATGCTAACACCCTTAGCACAGAACTCACTTAAAATACCCTTATTACTTATCGTATTTGCACTAACAACATATCGATTAGCAAACTGAGATTCCACAGATTCCAAACATATAAGTATCATCACTGAGCGATCAGAACTCGGCGAAACAACAACAAACAACAAGAACATTTGCTTTACGGAGCCAAAACGGCTACACACGTCTTAACTTTGTTGTTTTCTGATCAAAAGTTGTGTTCAATGGCATTAAAACGATAAAAACGCTGCTGAAGGTTAATCCATAGGTTAATCCAATGTGTCTGTGCCACTTTGAAATGATTATTGATAATCCATCATTCCATTTTTATGTCAATAACAGAGATTTCATATTAGCTGCTACGATAGCTACTAGAGTGACAGCTTCTGGTTCCGGGGCATTTCTGGCTGCGCATCACTCATTCATAATGTTTAGATTTTAGGATCTTCCCCTCGATTCTATTGGCTCTAACGGTTAAAAAGAGGTGTCAATCATCAAAATCGACCGACGGAGGGCCAGAGATATGGAAAATGCACCCAAATGACCCCAGAAGTGTTTTTTGTTTTCTAAATCTCTCTAAAAAGGTAAAATGTCACTTATTTTGCATCAATCTATGGGTATACCTGGGTCATTATCCTGAGGCCTGAAAAACACGCTCGGGGCTCAACTGGTTTTAAACTGTAAAACCAGCTAAATACAGCAACTATTGACAACAAAATATCAACATACCTCAAGCAATGCAATGCTGATGACATTTAGAGAGCATGAAAAGGGTTAACTCAGGCACACATGATATACTACAATTGTGAAATGGCAGAGAAAAATGAATTATTTCTCCTGCTGTGTGTTTGGTGTAGTGAATGTGACACATGTTCCTTTATGTGATATAGCGTGACCCAGAACCCCCCCCCCCCTGCTCTTGGCATGTCTCTTCAGCCAACTGCATTCGGGCGTGTTTCAAGACAAACACGGATGTCTTAATTATGTTTTATCAAGCTGGCAGATGGTAGGCTACGCAACATATAATAGTGGCTCAACCAATGGTAGTTACGCTTCCTATGGGATGTCACATTGACGTTAATCAGTTGCCACAGTGTTGAGCTCACAGTCAAAGCGTCAAGGTTGCGCCGAGATGTCAGGATCTTGTCTGCAGGAGGCAAATAGAAAATAAAATCAATTTTAGACGTATAAACGCGCCTTGTTTTTTTTTCTTCTGCTGTAGCATGCCAGATGTTACGTTCAGTTCGGTACCAACTTGAACTGTAATGTAATTACTTTCCATGAGCTAAGCACCATGATCAACAGAACAGGACCATCAGAGATGCAGATTGTCTGATAGACAGTTGAGTGCATTTTGGTGTAGTGTTACCAGCACAATAGCGCTGGGATCACTTTGTCAAGGGGATTAAATGGATTTACGTCTCTGGATTAGGATGCAACCAGCTGGGTACATTTGTGAAAGAAAGAGAGTGTGTGTGTGTGTGTGTGTGTGTGTGTGTGTGTGTGTGTGTGTGTGTGTGTGTGTGTGTGTGCGTGTGCGTGTGTGTGTGTGTGTGTGCGATATGGGGCTTGTTTTAATGGTCCCTGTCAGGTGATACAGCTGTTAGAGGAAAGCTTATTTTCTTCAGAAGACTAGCAAATGAAAATCTCCTTTAGTGGGGCCACTGAAGATTGATTTGAATAAATGACTTATACTACTGGACATAATCTGTCAATAAATCACATTTCCTGAGCACCCTTATTCAGTTGTACTTGTGTATATTATCAGATTTTTTGTGGGAGGGTCTATTTTAGTGTAAAGAAAATGCCATAAGAGTTTTAATAAAAGGATATGTACTGCATTCCTCTCAAGATGTAGCTACTGTAATTAGTATGAATCAGACTCTAAATCTGGTATATTATTATTATTAAATATATTCAATTATTATATAGATATTGGTTTGGATCACCCATCATTTGAAGAAAGGAATCCCTATAACACTTGCTAAATAATCTCACAATCTAAAATCAACTAATAAAACAATGCTCTTAAACAGGCCACCATTACAATTGAAATGCAGTGAATTATTTGTCATTGTGGCAAATATCAGTGTCAGTCTTTGGGGTTTTGATAACAGCAAACGGTGTTGATTCTTTCACCTGTGGTCACTTTTCAGCTGCCAGCTTCATGCTTGCTTTGTCAGAATGCCTTTTCAGCGATGTGCTTTTCATCTTCAAGCTAACTTTTTGTGAACAAAGTGCACTTTTGTCTTTTACAATAAAATCCACCATCAAGTGAAGAAATCAGGAAATGTGTAAATTTCATTTTTTACAAGAAATTTAAAAACTGAGGCACAATTTTAATGTATAACAATATTTCACAAAATGTATGTGAAACAATATTTTTTAGTAAAGTAAGGAAACTGGTCTTGCCATGTTAAGTGACACTGTTTACATGCCTTGTATTTTGTTCACAAAATGAATATTTGGATTGTTTTTTGTGCATGAAGTCTGATTTGGAAGGGGAATCCAGTGGTGATGGTAAGTTTTGGGTCAAAAAAACGCTTGAATCTGGCCGAGAAACCATTTTGAAGAGGTAGGAGTTTATTTTGTAGTTGGAAGAGGGCTTGGTGCCCAAATGGCCGCATGGTTCCAGTGACTGGATGATTATAGGATCATTTTGTGTTGTACATATATATAAGACATTGCATGCAACTGTCTTCACGATTCATTTCATGATAACCTTATATCATCAATATTTCATTCATACCATTTTGTGTATTTATCCCATTCTGATTTTAATTATTTAAATATTAAATATGGAATCAGTCTCCAGGCAAAATGCAAGCACTTAATGGTGAATAGAACTGTTGACTGACTATATGTTGTTCTTTCTATAGGCATTTGGGTCCTTACATACTCTAATTTCAGTGGTTGTGCATGTTTTCTCCAACTTATTTATTTCCCCCACTGGCTGCATGATGTTCACCTCATCTGTTTGCTATTCCTTCACCAACATCTAATTCTTCTCTCGGCCTCTTGTGTCTTTTGAGTGACAGACTTTATATGGCATTTTTCTCACCTCCTCACACCTTGATTGCCCGAATCGATGTTAGGGCAATTTCCTATGGGAGGCAATCTCCTTTTGCATTGCCACGCCAAGCTGTGCTCACTGGTCATTGCTTTTACTACGGAGACTGAAATCACCTGAATAGAGCTCCAGTCACAAGACCCCACAGCCCAATCTCAAACCTTCGAGGCATTGCTATACCACAGCCAACTCTATTTATGTAGCTTTCTTCCTCTTGCAATGCATTTCATCACATGTGGTGAGGAGATGCTTTTCATGAAGAAAAAAAATAAAATATCACACACAATTTCCATTGAGTATTTTGTATAAAATAGTTGTTATTTCCAAAAGTTAGAGTCCATTGTGTTTTAAAAAAAAACGTTGAATAAATACAATTTAAATAAGCCTAACGCAACAACATCAACCGGCCTACAGCCTGAAGATGTTTATCTCCTAACGCCTCATGATCAATACTGGTTCTTCAGTCTTTTAACAGAGATGCCAGATTTGTTCTGCTGCCAACAAAGACTTTAGTACTTCAAGGTTATATCAAATATTCAGGAGGGCTCATTCAGTTACAACTCTGTCCTTTATTCCAGTTAAGTCTACGAGACAACAAAATGAAGGCCCATGTGGCATAAAACAGCATTTCTTCTGCAGGAGTTACAATAGGTCACTTGCATGTGATGTTTAAAGCCTTGCATGGTTACAACATGCAATGGCCAGTACTAGTCTGCATGCTGCTTAATGAATGTCTTCCTCTCTTTCTCTTTGCCTGTCAGTGCTTCCAGAAGACACCAATAATGAAGGTGGGTACTTTGAACGATGCTTTCCTTTCTTGCTAAATTTTTGAAGCCTACATATTGGCATGGCTACTTAATTAAATGATTTTATCCTGGTAATGATATTGATATAACTGGAGTGGTAAGTCTGATACATCTGGTAATTATTGGTGTTTATTGATAAAGTTTGTGTTTATTTATTTTTTTTTGTCAAATCTCACTTAAATCAGACTTAAACTCTCAAGTGAACCAAACCTTAAAATAATCAAATATAATCAAATATTAAAGTCCTTAAGTAACAATCATTTACAATTGTTATTACAAGACAGGACTGGTGGGGGCTAGTCGGTTAGCATTCAGATTTTTATGTTTTGAATGTTATAAACTTCAAATTTAGCTGGTTTGTTACACACTACACCTTTAAATAAATAATAATCAACTAATTTATTAAGGATATCCAACATAAGGAAATGTTTTGTTAGTTTGTGTATAGTTAATCAAAAGGTCACATGAACCCTTTTTACAAAGACTTCTCACACAATGCTACCTTTTGTATTGGTGCAAAACTGTCCTTGTAGGCTACCTGGATTCCATGGAAACAAAGTGAATTGTTGATTTTGTTTTTTTAAATCGCCCACATTTGAAACAGCCGGGTAATGAACATGTACACTGTATAGCTGGAAGAAAAGCTTGCTATTGGAACACAGTTGACTAACATAAAGCAGCACAAACAGCTAGCTAGCATGCTAACGGTGCTGTGCCTGGGCCATGTTGGTAAATTCAAATGAATGTTATACAATTTAACTGTTAATTTACGCAATTTGAAGTCATTGCTACTCAAATCAGCACAGCGTCCAATCATCTTTTTTTAATTTTACTGCACGACACGACACAAGGTAAAACAGTCTTCTGCAATACATGCGCCTAGGAATCACTCTTTGGTTGGTAGGTGGAATGACAGTCTGTGTACTTTCCATGGACTGTGTGGTACTTTCTTATCCAAGAAAAATAAAACAAAAGGTCAACCCAAATAAAATATTCTGAATGACTAGTAAGTGGCTGATGATGCATTGCAACCTGTTTAGGTTGACTAAATGCTCATCGCGCTAACCCTGTCTGTGCATCCTCCTCTTCCTCTCCGTCCCACTCTTCCCTATCCCCACACTCCTCAAGCAACGCAGACATCTACTCTGTTGTCAGATGCCTGCGTGTCGGTGTCTCACAGCTTCCCATGATCCCTTGTTCTCTGCTGACTTTGCTCTTGTTTTCCTTTAAGGTCTGGCACATCTGATGATGGGCGACCAAGGTATGAGCTCTGTTCCTTTTTCCTATCATTCCTCCATTGTCCCTCCTACTCCCATTGTGCTCAGAAGTGTGTGTGTGCATATAACGCTTGTGCGATGCTCAGGCTTGAAGCTTCATATATGGGCTGTCATTTCACTTATTTTGAATTACCTAGTTGATTTTCCGTCTCCCAGATACTTTTTTTCTCTGTCTGACCTCTTTTCACAGCTCTTTTGGTTTCCCCACTCAGCTTAGTAGCCGTGTCATAATTTCTCTCCATATTTTTTTTCCTTTTTAATTATTCACATCTACTGTACAGTTGTGATGTAATATGATGATGTGGTTCAAGCAAAGGAACATTTGAATTAAGATTATGAGGATATGATGCATGGTGGTGGAAAAATAGCCTACTGAATATTGAAGCCGGTCCTCATCTGCCGTGCATGTTGCGAGAGTCTGCACAGACGATCTGTCCATTCTATCTTCATTCATTTCTGCGGCCTCTGCATATCCTTATCATGCAGCAGAGATGTGTTGCTCCTCTCTTTCTGCTTTCCTTTGTTAGTCACCCATTTCCTCTCTTCTGTTTGCACATATAGCCATCAAGCCTTTCTCCCGTCTTCTATCCTTTTTTCCAACCTGACCCGGACACTTATCGGTATCCCCTCTCCTTTTGTTCTACCTCCTTTTTGTCTGGAATCTGCTTTCTTCATGGAACATTTCACCAAAACTCATAGGTAAAAGTAAAGGTACTTCCCCTTCTAATTCCCTGTGTTCATGAAACTATGACAGCAGTGTTTGTGGCAGTATATACTCATGCTAATTGAAGTATATAAAGTCATTGGCATTCAAAAACAAATTGCTTTCTCAACTATTACTCAAAGATCTCAAAGGTAGGTGCCGCTTCTGCTTTGCATTCACATGTGAAAGCTGCGTGTTTCTTTTCTGCTTGATGCATGGGCATTATAAATGAGGCTTACATGGGCATATGAACACAATCAGTGCTGTCCTAGTTCCAGTACATCACCACCACCACCCAGGGGTAACTACGCTTCAAATAATTGGTTTGGGATTTTTTTTGCGTGTGAGGCTTGATCATAGTGTTGTGGGCCTCCCATCCCGGCTGTGATCCTCACCTCCTCTCCCTGTAGGGTAAGTATACCTCTGATCTTTGCCATTTGACTCTCCTCCTCAGGGCAGAGAGGGGAAACTTGGCTACTCAGGTCCCTACTGAGCATTCAAGGTAAAGTTTTGATTCTTTCAAGTTAGCTACTATAGAAAGCCACATTTAGCAAGCCATCATTAGCTTACTGAAGTGTGGAAAGCTTGAACATCAATGTGTTTGGTTTACCAATTGGAGAAAGACATGTATTAAAAATAAAACCTCAAATTTGGAAAGAACACTGACATTCAAGTTTTTCACCTTGATTTTGCTTGCCTTTGTTGCCATGTTATTAGTTTTAGTTTGGCACATGTTTTGGATGTTTTCTTTATTTCTTTACACCAAGTAGGATATGTTGTGTTCTGTGAAATGCTATCGCTTATCATATACTTGTGAAGCATCATCTGAACAGGTAAGTCTTCAACCTGCCATGTGGTGTACAGTGTTAGGCTTCGCTTTATCCTATTTTGCAAGAATCATAGCTATTGCAATGTATTCTGCTGCCCAACGTCAAAGATGCAGTGATTTGTTCATGGATAACACACACATACACACACACATACTGTAAACGCACCCATAAATGAAACAATTTTCCGTTATGAAAGATTTTTACCAATCTCCTAAGGTAAGTTCCATTTCCACAATCCTACTGGTGTCCTGGGGTTCGGAAAGTGGATGCATACCAGTTGGCTTCTCATTACACACATACTTGACATACATAAAACAAATGTAATTCCATTTTGAATGTTTGATTTTGAATTAGAAAAACCACTGCTGTGGGTGGTTTGAAAACTTTTAATTGACTAAATATTTAATTAGTCAAATGTTTGCTGTCGTCAAGTTTAGCAAAATCCTTGGAATAATACACTACTTGTCATTGACCTACTTGTAAACAACTGGCTGGGTATTTGGTATTCCATAAAAACTATTTTGTCAATACAATGACATTTTGCTGTCTGAAACGTACAGTATACATGTGATATGTTTACATTAACAAAACTACTGTAAATGTAGTGATACTGGCTAAAAATAACATAATCTATGAAAGGTGGGTTTTTAGTTTTACACTAATAAGACAAATAGTTTACTACTACACCCTTAATGCACATTTCAATTCTGACTGGTGTTTTTAGTGTACATTATACAGCTTCATTCCAAACCCACTGGTTTTAACGACACAAAAGCAAACACCCAGTTAAGCTGTGGCAGAAGGAGAGCCACAGGGAGAGATTGAAAGAATGCTGATGAGGCACAAATCTGACATATGAAGCACACTGTTTCTAAATTGGGCCGTTGTCGGTTGTCCCCTGTGTCGTAGGGAGGGAAGTCCAGTTATGTACTGTGTAGTCACAAACACATATCCCCTCTTGAGCATTAAATCTAGCAGCGAGGACACTGCCTGTATTTGCTGTGTGCTTTAAGCTGGTGAGAATATTGTGTATTATGTTAGCCCCCCTGAGGTCCTCCTGTGTCACGTTAACCACTTGTATGGTTTATCCTGTGTTTCATGGCTGGTCCCTCGAGGATGGGCTGGTTTCTGTGTGCCGCTTTTCAGCTGGTGTACTCTCACTGGAGTACTAAAACCTCATTTCCATCCAGCTCTAGAAAGCAGGGCATACAGTAGAATAAGTCATATTACCGCTGGCACACAAATCGCTGGGTATTTAATTGCTGTCATCACAATAAACTGCCATGTGCAGCTTAAGAGGAACTGCAGGCTGTGCAGAAAGGCTTACAGGTACCAATGGCCTATTTCTATATTAGTATACTTTTTAATGTAATTGCTTTCACTTTTTAGAAATGATAAGTGTCCCTTTTTATTATATATTGTGCATTTTATGGATGTCTGTGGGGCAAGTGAGCGGATCATTATAGAGTTTTTTTGTACACGTTATTCTATATGTCCTATTTCATATTGTAAGGATGTTATAATGTAATATTGTATTCCTTTTCTTTACATTTTAGAGAATGCTGATAAACTGGTGAATTTTAAGAGGGTTCCTTATTTGGCTGATAAAAACCTTAAGTTCACTTTTTACATCCAGCAATCCATTTGACATTGCCACGATTCTGCTGTTAACGTTAGCTGGCATACTTTTGTACATTACATTTTTCTGTTGAATATGCACGAATCAGAGTAGAAACTAAACATCTATTTATAATAGCTGACAATTTTAGAGCAAATGCAATAACCAGGATATTACTATTCGTTATGGATATTCATTGAAACATCTGTATAAACCAAGGCATGAAAGAAAATCAATGCAAGCCTCACTATTTGGTCTGCTTATTGTATGTATATACTGGCAATACACACATGCAGTATGAGTTATGAACACACATACAAGAAAGATATGTGCATTTGATATAGATTATCATTTTTGTTCAAACTTTCACATTTGTTCAAGGACTTGTTGACTTAACCTTGAATAGAAAGGCACTTGTACGCGATGTGCAAACATACTTATGGTACAGTACAATAATGGATAGTATTCAGCACGTCTCAGTGAATAAGAGCTGTAGGAGTGTGTTTAAGTCGGTAAATTACAATGAAAAAGCCTCACTTAACATATTGTATGTGGGAATTTGAAGCACAACCTGTTTACTTTAACGGAAGCTCAGTGAAATGATTTGGTGTTCTGCAAAGTTCAACCATCTGCATAACTACAAAGGTCATAGAATACAATATAAGAGCTCCAACATTAGCCAATTTAATTCACATATTTAAAGTCATAAAACAGCAAAACGTAAATGTAGTATTCATATCTTTAATTTGATCAAAAGTCATTTGTAACCTTTCATTCTGCGTTCCAACTTCTTACTGTGAAATCTGGTAAAGCTCTGCATCACAGACTTTATTCTCTGGTACTTGTCTCAAAGGATTATACTTGACTAGAAAATTCCGTAAGTCAGTTTTCCCCAAAGAACGCCACATTAGTTGTGCTGCAACTAGAATTAGTGTCTAAGACTTACATATTATTGACTTTCAGGTTGTTTAACAGCCAACAAAACAACAATTCGTGGATTTTAAAATTGTCACAGAAAAGTATGTGTTGTAATCCTTGTTTAGTGATGAAATACCAATCCACCATGGAGTGCTGTCCTGGCTTTATTTGCTTCTGACAGCAGAGTGGCCTGCAGTAAGAGATATTTTCGTTTTCTGGTATGTGTTTCTTTCATAGACATTTATATATCCTACACTTTTATATAATTGACCTCACCACAGCTTCTACTTGAGCTAATGTTGGGGTTTGTATTACCCAAGTTTCCCTCTTTGATTAACAGTTAGGTTTCCAGGTTTGTGCGGTGACAGGTGCATGACAGGGTACAGCAACATATTTTATCATACTACATTATACTACACTTAAACATCAGTCAGAAATAACAACGATTACGACTTTTGTACAGAGAGGGTTCACAGAATTCTTAAAAGAGAGTGTCTTAGAGTTGCTCAGCGTTCAATTGTGTATTATATTGGTGATAGTGTTGATGAGGTGACTCACTATAATGGGGTGAACGCTTTAAATGAGTGCCACTGCCTTGAATTCAGTTTGCAATATAATCTATTTTAATGTTTGCATACTCAGCATGACCTGAAAAATCTTAAAGCTCTGTGTTTTAGTTTTCAGGGAGAGTCCTTACATTTACTCTACAATACGTAGAGATGCCCTCAATACTTTAGGATGATAGTTGTAGACAAAGAGTTTCCCATTTGAAGCACACAGCACCTTTGCCATGAAAGCGCAACAAGTTATTTTAGATGATGTGCATTGCTATGTCAGATTGCAACTCGTCAAGACTTTACGCCTTCTTTATCTGACAGGTAACACAATACCATGTGGTGCGCGTTGAATCAACAACATATGTTGCCTTTTTAGCTTCAAATGGAACCTGGGAGACTGTCAGTGAAATACTGAAAATGCTCCATTGATTCCCACAGGATTGTATTTACCCAGCTTTAACCCTATAGTTATTTAGCACACAGTATATGTAGTTGCAGACAGTTTTATAAATACTATCTTGTGAGTAAAGTGCATCTACAGAATTCAATTAAACATGACGTCTTTTAGTGAGGGTGTTCGCTTCTGACGATCTTGATTCACACTTCTCATAGAGGGCATACTCAGAGATAATAACACCTTACAGTGAGCTGTCTTCTGGACTCTCATTATGTAAAATGTCAGCGGAAATGCTGTTTGAAAAGCTGACTCAGAATTGTAACAAAAACAAAATTGGGTTTATCTCTAGGTCTTGGCATATGGGTAACATCCTCACCATCTGGTCTGAAAACTCAAAATGTAAGAGCCTGATTTAAACTCATGTTGCATACAAATCAGAAGCTCTCAATCAGAAAATGCTTGGAGAATATAATGAGCAGTTAAGTTTTTCGTCCACGTTTACCAAAACCAAAAACCAAAATTATCTATGATGAACTAAAGAGATATCTTGCTAACTCAAAAGGAGATGTACTCTTTGAAGTCACCACTATTAACTACACTGAACAAAAATATAAATGCAACACTTTTGTTTTTGCTCCCATTTTTCATGAGATCTCAACTTGCCATATATGTGACCCTCGTTCCCATT